ACTGGACAACTAAAAAAACCCCCCCAAATATATATATATGTATATCTATCTATATATATATATAATTAGCCGGGCATGGTGGCGCATGCCTGTAGTCCCAGCCACTCGGGAGGCTGAGGCAAGAGGATCACCTGAGCCCAGGAGTTTGTGAGCTAGGCTGACGTCACAGCACTCTAGCCTGGGCAACAGAGTGAGACTCAGTCTCAAAAAAAATAACAAAAAAACAATTCAGCTTTACATGGTGACGCTGTTCTCATTGGCGGAGAACATTTCAGTGTGTTGACTTAATCGTCAATAGATTCCGGCCAGCGAAACAAATAATAGCGTCTCCGGTTATTTCGTTCATTCTTTTTTTTTCCCAGTTTGCTTCTGTCTTTGTGCTACCACGTGTGACAGAAGGCTCTGGAAGTGGTGCAAAGCCAGGCTGTCTCTCCGGCGGGTGTTTGGAGAGGCCCCGATGCCTGGCCGGACTGGAGGGACAGAGAGGGTCGGAGGTGACCGTGGTCCAGGCGGCATCACCCAGCACCATGTGGGAACAACGCCAGCCCTCCCCTTCCCGCAGGCACCCACAAGGCCCCTTCACCGTCGGGAGCTCCGAGCCCGCCTGGGCCCACCTGGGCCGCTTAGGTGCTGGACACGCTGCTTCTGCCCGGGCAGGAGGACACTCTGTGCAGCGCCTCTGGCTACGCAGTGCAGGTGGCCGCACGTGTCTTTGCTGCCAACCTCCCGTGGGGGCTGCTGTCCTTGTTTCAGACTCTATGTGACCCGTCCTGAGCCAGCTCTCCCTTAAACTGCCCCGTGTCTGTCTCTCAATTGCTCCTCCGTCCCCCGGGCTCCGTTGGTCTGACTTCTTACGGCTCCGCTCAGCATTTCAGTAACAGCCTTCTTGGCGTCCTGGCAAGCCCGGTGACCTTTGTCAGTGTTTCTGGCCACTCGCACGGGGGGTGCAGGCATCACCTTACTTCCGCCAGAGTCCTCTGGGGTCGGACTCACGGATCTGACCCCACGCGAGGGTAGTGGAGAAAGGTCCTTGGGATTTCTGGGGAATTTTGCTCCTCGAAACCGCTTCCTCCACGCTGGAGCCTGTCCACGCCGCGGTCCGGGGAAGCCCCGCCCGGACCGGCTCCCGCACAGGCACTCGTGGCCGCAGCGAGTTAATCCGCCTGCAGGAACCGCTTGGACCCGGCTGCAGGCTGCAGGGGACCGACAGAATCCAGAAGAGCCTGTTTTTATTGTTATTTTAAAGTCCCCGTCCTGGTAAATAAACTCGGCTAATCAGACGCTTTTATTTTTTCTGTGCGATAACAAATTCGTCAAAGCAGACCCAGGACAGAGCTGCCTCTGTGCAACAGTCCCAGGACTCCAGACGCGCCTGGGTGAGTAGGATTCCTCGCAGAGAAGTTGGCTCTGGCACTCCGGTTTCTTCCCGTGGCCAGGCCTGGCTGATCGGCCACCGCGTGGATTGTGGGGCTCCGGGCGTGGTGGTGGGAGGCAAGAGCGCTTTCCTTTTCTGTTCTTTATTCTATCGAACACCAGAACGAACAGCACGGACACTCCGTGCAGTGGCGGGTTTTCCCACGGCGCCCGGCCTCCTGTGGGGAAGTCCGCAGCAGTTCCCCTTTGGGGACAGGGGTGTCCCGGGCGAAGGCGGCCCAGGCCGCGCTGGGAGGGCCTCCGCCAGCCCAGCACCCAGGTCACCCGGCGTCCCCAGTTGCTGGCTAGAGCCGGCCGGGAGGAGGATGACAAGCCGAGCTGAGCTGCCGTGGGAGAAGCAGCAGAAGGAAAAGGCGTCAACATGCTAAGGACATGCTAAGGACGCTATCTGGGTGACGGGCACACTCTCAGCCCTGACTCGAGCACCACAGAAGTGATCCATACAACCAAAAACATTTGTGTCCCTGTAATATTTTAAAATTAAAAAAAAAAAAGCCCTACGAAGTGTCACAAAGACCAAATGCTCTTCTAAGTTATATGCCACTAATATCCTAGACATCATGTCAAATATTGGGACATGCATATTTCTTCTGAGAATGACAATAAAAATCTCTCAAGTGTCTTTAAAAAAATGCTGAGAAGACTCTGAGGAAGTGCAGGGGTGAGCAACACAGCAGAGGATGTGCACAGCCTCCTAAAAGTTAAATTATTTACAGGCGAGACTCAGCACAGGGGGACTTGGGACTTCTGTGCCCAATCTGAACATCTAAGAGTGGCCAGCAGGAACGACACAAGGCTGTGGAGCTGCGGGGCTCCCCTCAGGGGCCCGGTGACAAGGGGAGCTGGTCACCTCGGGCCACCTGCGCAGGAGGAAGCGCTCCGCGCCCGGGAGAACCCACGTTCACCTCCCCACTCTCCAGCTCCTCCTCCTCCTTTCTGCCAAGGCAAAAAACCCGGGACTAACCTTCCTAAATCCTCAGGGTTTCCTGGCCTGAGTAGTTCAAGGTCAAGAAGGACTAAAAGAAAACAAAGAGAAAGGCAAAGGGACGGGAGAGGAGCACACGGATGGCACCTGGGATCCCGCCCAGAGACCCTCAAGGCAGGATCCGAGTCCGCGGGCGGGAGGGGAAGGGAGGAGCGGTCGCTCCAGCCCCACCCGTCCCCCTTGCCCTGTCCTGCCCACGGAGCCGGCACCTGCTGAAACCTGAAATCCTCCTCGTCCTTACAAATGCTGTTTTCCTTTTCTTTCTTTCTTTTTCTCATGCCTTCTTTCTCTTTTTCAAATTTCCCTTTTTAGCACTCTGGGAGGCCAAGGGGGGGCGGATTACTCAAGGTCAGGAGTTCGAAACCAGCCTGAGCAAGAGTGAGACCCTGTCTCACCATAAATAGAAAGAAATTAATTGGCCAACTAATATATATAGAAAAAATGAGCCGGGCATGGTGGCGCATGCCTGTAGTCCCAGCTACTCGGGAGGCTGAGGCAGGAGGATTGCTTGAGCCCAGGAGTTTGAGGTTGCTGTGAGCTGGGCTGACGCCACGGCACTCACTCTAGCCTGGGCAACAAAGTGAGACTCTGTTTCAAAAAAAAAAAAATTCCCTTTTTATTTTTCACTGGAAAGGAGAACCAGATACTTTTTAAAATGGAATTGTCTGAAGGAAAAATGAAAGTAAAAGTCCCGCTGTTCATTTTGGTGGCTCGGTGGCTACAGGTAGCCTATGTTGTCTCCAAGAGCCTGCGCTGACGCTTCCCGGACGCCCTGAGCTCTTTTTCCTGCACTGGGGGTCTACAGACTCTGGGGGTCTACTGAGTCGCACTGGCCTGACGCACCTGCCACCCCGCTGCTGGCGGGTCCCCAGCGGAGCTGCACCTGCCGGGTCCTGGCCCGGCTACAAGAGAGCGTGCGGGCGGCTCGACTGCGCCCCCTGCTGGACCAAGTTCTATGTCGGCTCGCGTTTACCTGGATTTTAACCACACTGAGCTTCCTTTGTTTGCGTTTCTCATGCTCAGTAATATATTTCTGTTGTCCAATGAGTGGTCACACTTGTGATTATTATTTTTATAATGGCTGCATTGCAACATAATGCACCTACCTTACAACTCCTCCGTGCGAAGTGTGTGATTCAGTGGTTTTTAGTACATTCACAGTTGTGCCAGTGCCATAGTTAACTGTTTTGGAACAATTTCATCATGCAAAAGAAACCCCTGCTCATTAGCAGCTGCTCCCATTCTTCCGCCCGCCACCCCACCCCCCCGCCCCGTGACCTCACCCTACCTTCTGTCTCTGCGCGTGTACCTGCTCTGCACTTTACGCACGTGGGGCCGTGCACACCTGGCCCTTTGTGGCTGGCCGCCCCCGGGGTCTCCTGCTGGCTTTGCCACAGGGCGGTTAGTTAGCGTCTGGGGTCCGGAAGGGATGATCCCCACAGGGGCCCAGGGCACACTGGTGGAGGCGCCCCAGCGTGGGTAGGCAAGGCCGTGCCCAGGACGGGGCTGGGTCAAGAGGAAGAGCGACAGGGGAGGGGACAGGGCCACAGGTCCCCCACTGCGAGCCTCAGGAGGGAAGGGACCCATTAGGGACCGAGGACAACCAGCAAGGTGGCAGGGAGCCAGCAGAGGGGACCGGGGTGTTCCCAGGGACTGACAGATGCCTAAGTCCCTCCGCGTCAGCTGTCACAGAGTGGTGTGCACGTCTCCCTTCCTTCCTTTCTTTCTAAAGTTCTCCAATCTCAGGAGCTGGTAGAAAGAAACCCACAACACTGCACAGGATTTCTGGCATCCCTCGCAAATGATCTTTTCTAATAACATGGTTAATCACACGTAGAGGTTTTTGCATGTTTGGTTTTGGTTTAACCTCACACTTCTCTCTTCCAAACATTGCCCTTCACACCTGGGATTCGTCACCGCAGTGACCGGCAGGATGGACACCTGGCAACCCAGGAATCAACCGAATTACACTATTTAAAGACTTGGTTTCTGTCTTATTAGAATTCTGCAGCGTCAGCCGGCACGGTGGCTCACGCCTGTAATCCCAGCACTCTGGGAGGCCAAGGTGGGAGGATCGCTCAAGGGCAAGAGTTCAAGACCAGCCTGAGGAAAAAAAAAAAAAAAAGACCAGCCTGAGCAAGAGTGAGGCCCCGTCTCTACTGAAAATAGAAAGAAATCAGCCACACGACTAAAAATATATAGAAAAAATGACCCGGGCGTGGTGGCGCATGCCTGTAGTCCCAGCTACTCGGGAGGCTGAGGCAGGAGGATCGCCTCAACCCAGGAGTTTGAGGTTGCTGTGAGCTGGGCTGATGCCACGGCACTCTAGCCCAGGCAACCGAGCAAGAGACTCTGTCTCAAAAAAAAAAAAATCTTTAGCGTTGAGAATGAAGGGTTTGGGGGTAAAGGTAGCAACAAAGAATACTTTTCTAGTTCTTCCAGCTCGTGTTCTTTTGGTCCAGCTGACTCGAAGCAGCTGTGTTGGACACCAAACTTTTTTCTTAAGTATTTGAAAGGTCAAAAGTCCAAAGACAGGCGTTTATCTGAAGCTGTTCTCCCGTGTCCGCCACCCGCAGGCGTCCTGGCTGCTGGCGCTGCTGCTGCTGCTGCAGGGGGGGATGGCCTCGCCCGCGCCCTCCGAGGGGCTGGAGCAGCTCTTCCGGCACCTGGAGCTCCAGCAGGACGCGCTCGTGCAGGTAGGAGAAGCTGCACGCGCTGTGGGGCGTCTGGGGAGAGCCACGACTTGCTCGGAGATGTGGATTTGTTTTTTTGCCTGACAACTCCATCTATCTGAGAAAAGCCTGTGCCTCCTCACCGGAGTAAGGCCCTCCGTAGTCATTCGATCCACGGAAGGGATGGCTCCGGCCAGGCCGCCTGGAGAGGGCGCCCTCTGCGCCCCCGCACCTCTGCTGGAGGGGTGTCCCTTTAGAGGCCAAGGCAGCCGGCAGACTCTGTTGAGCTGCGGCTCCAGGTGAGGCGTAGGCGGAGCTGGGGCGCTAGGGAGCTCGCACAGTTCAAAGGCAACGCTGCTGCTCGTTTTCTGCACGTGGCCTGTGCGCTTTGTCTCCTCCTTTATGATCCTCCTTCCTGCGTCCTAATGCACCGCCCTGCCCCGCGCACAGGTGGGAGGGAGGGAGGGGAGGGGGAGGGGGAGTGCAGGGAGCAGAAGCTGCCATTCCCAAATTCTCACCGGCTACTCCTCCCCCCACGTGGGGCTCTGGTGTCCCCTCCCAGGTGTCTGGCCATCGCCACGCACCCCTCCCACACTGATGAGGTGTTTGTGCTCACCAGCCGGGGGCCTCCTGGGGGTCTCACCGGACCCTGTCCCCCCGGCCCCCCACGCCGTGTCTGGCACAGGAAGGACATTCAATATATGTGTGTCCGGTCAATCAACCAATCTTAGGAACGTTGCCGTGTGCAGACAGGTAGATGTGAACCTCCGAGTTCCACGCTGAAGGTACGGAACCGCACATCCAGGCCCCCTATTTTAGTTGGCCAATTTCTTTCTTTCTATTTTTAGTAGAGACAGGGCCTCACTCTTGCTCAGGCTGGTCTCTAAACTCCTGACCTTGAGCAATCTTCCCGCCTCGGCCTCCCAGAGTGCCAGGAGTACAGGCGTGAGCCACCTCGCCCAGCCTTAACTCTTTTTATAACAAACATAACAGTACTACGACCAGGGTAGAGGGATCAAACTCAAGCAAGTTAGGAAAAGCCCAAATCGGTCATTCAAAATGTGTGTGGTTTTTCATAAAAATGACGGCCATCCCAGCACGAGCGACTGGGGTCGCACCTCGGGGACGTGAACAGAGACCGTTGATGACGCGGCGTGGCCGGAACTCATCACCTGCCAGGTCCACGCGGTGTGCGTGAGTTCTGTGCACACATGTTCTCTTCCTCTTCTCCACAGCCCTGTAGTAGGGACGCACTCTCTTGTAAGGGTGGCTGAGCTCAGGCTGAGAGGGCTTGAGGAACCTGCTCGAGGCCACGCAGCTGCAAGAGAAGAACAGGATCGGGAGCCAAGGCTGTCCATGGCACTGAGTTTAAGCCCAGGGTCGCAGCGCCTGGGTCCTAGCGGCTCGGGGAGGGCTGGCCAGGAAATCTAAATGCAGAGCATGTCAGGAGGAGCCTGAGGCCCAGCTGAGGCCACCATGGGATTAAATTGGTGTCACCTGCGGTGGCCAGGAGCCCCCCCCCCAGGTGCATTCGTGGGAAGCCAAGATTCCCCAAAACGCTGTTCTTAATAATTAGAAATAGTGGGCGGGAACTTGCCCTTCCTGGCAACCCGGGTGCCCCGGGGGGAGCACGGCCTGGGTCTTGAAGAAGACACCTGTGCCCCAACCCGCCCGCCTAGTCTTCCGTATCCACCAGGCGTCCTGGCCTCCGAGCTCCCGCCTGTCGGTTACTTCTGGACGTCACAGAGCTCACTGGGCAGTCTTCAGTCCCCCAGCTCCAGAGTGTCTGGGGACCTGTCGTCTCCCCCTCCCCTCGCCCCGCCCAGAGCGGCTGCGGGACCCGCCAAGACTAGTCCCCTCCTTGCTTTTCTTCCTAGACGCTCAAGGAGTGGGTGGCCATCGAGAGCGACTCTGTCCAGCCCTCGCCTCGGTTCAGAGAAGAGCTCTTCCGGATGATGGCCGTGGCTGCCGACAAGCTCCGGCGCCTGGGGGCCAGCGTGGACTCCGTGGACACGGGCTCTCAGCAGGTGCCGGCGGGCTCCCTCCCCCACCCAAGGGCTGCCGCCTCTGAACGCCAGCCAGGCCTGCCTTGGGCGGGGGCAGGAGAGGGGCTTTCCCGAGCCCCAAGCAAACCCCAGGTCCCGCTTCCCGGGGACGTTGTGGCAGGTCTCAGATGGGACTCCCACTGATTCTAGTCTCTGCAGGGCGCCAGGGCAGGGGGTGGGGGGGGGGGGGGGGGGGGGCTATCTGTCAATCCCTATCTAAGAAAGTAGTCGGTGCTTTCAATTATGTTTCATATCTCAGTTAAAAGCGTGTCGCGGCACTCGTTTTAGAGGTGAAGAAAGTGATGCTCAGAGAAATGACACTGGCTCTCTAAAGACCCAGGGCTAGAATGGACAGGGCTCCTAAAGCCAGGTCTGAATTTTCCGGAAGAACGATAGGGCGTTTCGAGAGGAGGTCGGCTCCCCATGGAACCCCCTCTCTCCCGTGCACGGCTGGCTCCCTGGGCACGTGGTGCAACTCTCTCCCAGATTGTCCTTGCCTTAAATTCCTGCGAGTCTTTCCCAGAGGGCCCATAGAGAGAGCTGTGTCCCTTCCCAGAGTCTCTGCCAGGAGCTTTCACTCTGCCTCGAGTGACAACCGCGAACCCCAGC